TGAATTGGCGCTATACAAATACTTGAATTGAATTGAATGACAGAACTGGCGGCATCTGCTGGGGAAAGGGGATAGAGCCTGCGTGAAAGTGCAAACATAATTGCAGGGAAGGACTCACAGTGCTTCCCCGCCCGTGGGGTGCTGCTTCTTCTCAGCAAGCCAGGGGTAGCTTTGCAGGATGTAGGGGGCTGGTAACTCTTGCCCAATTCGCCACAAGCAGAGACATGATCTTATCTGACCACTTCCAGATCAAGATGATAGGATAACATAAATACACAAAAAGGCGCTTCGCGAAGAAGAAGATATATATATATTTTAAGTGCTGGTGCTGCCCCCCATGTGTCATGAAAAAGTGTCAATATTCACATTACAGTAGTGGATGGAAACACTGAAACTATGCTCATGACAAGCGCCAACGAGTGGTACATTAAAGTGGGGTTGTATGAACTTATCCATAGTCAGTTACAGTAGACGGCGGGCATTGTGCATAGTAGCAGAGCCATGCCCTGCTGTGGATGGGGTTCGCAGAAAAACATATTTTAGCCAACTAAAAAAAGGCCTACCTCCAAAAAATCAATATCTGTTTAAGTGGAGCCTGCTATAATAATTACAGTTTCACCACTTTACCATGCCAGTAGATTTTCTTTGGCACTATATGTAGACCTTCACTTAAGCCCAACAGTACCACGTATTGTATTACGCTGCAGATCAGCTGTTACCTAATACAACTTCCTCAAAATATCTGAACTATGCCTTTAACTTTTTTATCCTAGAATTAGATAAGAAGCTACCACACACAGACCATTTGCTTAGTTTAACACAAACACTTGCAAGGAAAGCTGGAGCACTTTAGAAGGATGGCTATGCACTGTAGCCTTTATTCCTTAGCTTTCAACAACAGTGAAAGAGAGAAATTTCATTCTTCACATCTTAATGCTAAGCTTATATCTCATCTAACTCCCATCAAGAAAGAGCAAAGCATAATAACTATTCCTTTGCGAAGTTGCAGACAACAACCTACCAGCAGCAGCATGCACTTGCTCTCTTTGATGGCTCCACAGCAGCCTAGAAAACCGATGATGACCAGAAGTCCTCCTAATGCAATCAGCAGGTAGCCCACATTAAGCACCTGACTGAGCTCTGCATTTTCTGCTGGTGCAATTTTCCCGAGAAAGCTGAAGATGGAGCTGCTGTCCACCTTCACCCAGATCCCAACACCAAGGATGGCAGCACCTGCCAACTGATGGAGAGTGATGGAGAGAAGAGACAGGAAAATCTTAAGGAAACTCCACCATTTTACACATAATGGTCAGTTTACTTGTCATAGGAAGTACTACACAGTGTACATTTACCAAGCAGGGAGGATCTAATGTAAGATGAGTGGCATTATAGGATCCAGTGTTTTGGAGCTTTACCCATATAAGGGACTAATGTGCTCAACAGCTTCAAATTAAACCATTCTTTCTTTTACAGTCTCTTACAACTCCAAACACATTGTTGAAGTGCAATATTCAAATTTTAAAGTAGCCTTTTAAATAAGGTGGAAAGAATACTTTCCATTTCGTACATTTTGATCATTGACGTCAAGTTCGGTGTGTCACAGGTTTCTGTGTCACAAAGTTGCAATTGTTCTTCACACGTTGCATATTTTCCTACATCTTTCATACTACTACTACAACTACCCACTGTGTTGCTGATGTATACATTACTTAAAGGTAAAAGTGGAAAATGTAAAAGTGGAAAATAAAATTATAGTTTGAATTGAATTGACTTTGTAATTATAACTTACAAAGATGATGCCATTGAAAACAAACATGGCAGCTTTTAGGAATCCAAAGCATCCCATTTTTTCTGCTGATTGTTCGACCTGGAAAAAAAAGGGAAAGAAATGTTAAACAAATACTGTTCATCATTTTGTTGTCAACACTTATTTTTTACTTTCATGATTTTCATACAATGTCAAATCTCATTAAAATGTTATACAGCAATTTAAAGTTAATCATCAAGTATGTTTATTTATCCATTTCAATTCCAGTTTAACAACAATGGGTGCACACATCAGGCATTTGTGTACCCAGCATTAGTCATCTTGATGATGTGTTTCACTATATATACTGCCAGTTAGGTGACAAATTTACAGTGGTATTGTGCTGTTTTTATCTGTAAGGTTGAGAAAGCAGGAGAGGGGAAAACACCCGTCGCTTTACCAACTCACCTTTTACCCTTTGTAAGCTTTACAACTTATCTTCCTCAAACACTCACAGAGCCATAAGCCTTTCATTTCCACTTTTAGGACATTTACTGTACACGTACTGTATCACCTTACGTGGCACTTGTCTGAGGGCTTTGTTTATTTTAGAATGAATGAGAGTAGAGACGTGACGATTGAGGAAGTATGCCTCTCTGTATTTTCTGGGAAGTTTTATCACCTAGCCAATGAGATGCAAATGAGGAAAGGAAACAGACTCAGGAGTTAGACATCTAAATTACTAATGTGGAAACGTTTTTTCTCTCTGTAAATTATCACATTCTAATACTTAAAAATCATAAACATAGATGATATATAGTTGAAGTAATATGAGCACAAATGCAGTTTTTAAAGATCAAAGACAGTGTATTTGTGTGTGTGTGTATTTGCATAGAAAATGATGTGGCCAGGCAGTCACAGCCAGTACTTAAGTTAAACTATCCCTCTCTATATCTCTGTTTTACAAATTTGCACATTAACATTTATCTTTCTTCATCCTTTTCATTCATCAAACACACACACACACACTGTATCCTGTCCCTAAATCTTTTCCTCCCACCCCCCTTTACAACCTCTACTGTTCTAGAGTCACTTGAAGATTGTCACTTCCAAATTAGTGTGTGTGTGTGTGTGTGTAGACCTCCCAGATGGGGAACAGTGCTCTTTGTGTGGTATGACAAAGCAGACATATTGTTATCCCCAACTACAATGACTGAGCAGAACCGTATTGTGTATAGCAACAGGCTGCTCTCTGAGAACTGGGATATCCCTCGTGACCTCTGCACTATTATTTAAAATGCACTTTTATACTAAAGCCTTTGCAGTTGTTTTCGTTGCACAACACCTTCCATAAATATCTGCTCGCATATAAAATAAGCCCCAAACAGGAAGTGACTTGTCAGTTCATTGAGCTTGCCTCTGCTGTTAGTAAAGCTGGTTTTCATCAAGTTAATCATACATTCAAGGGGCCAAGATGCAGTCCAGTGGTTGCCTTGACTCCCCAAACTCCCTCTATCATTTCACTCCCCCAAGCTTCTTCCTACTTCCTTGTGGTCAGTGATTGCACTCTGACACCCAGGAGTCAGCCTGGTGATGTATTAAGAAGCTAGAGTCACACGCAAGTCTCAAAATGCCCCAGAAAGGACAGCAAAAAAGATGTAGTGTGCACTTCTATTACCTCTTAGAACACAGATTAACAAAAAGGAGGAGCTCTTGGTTGAAGGTTACATATTTAAAGCTGTATTGTATGTGTTAAACATGCAAGCAGATACGTAGTCTATTTGTTGGTCTTAGATCAACAGAAAACCTCTGATCTGTCTCTGACTGACCGACTTCCACTAAAAACACAGACAGACAAATCTCAAAGGACGCCATTGAATGGAATAATTGCAGGCAGGTCTCAGGAGACAAAGGATCATTGTGGGACGGATCCCTCCCTACGTTGGTACAGCCCTTGAAAATTGATCAAAAGACGCAAAACTCACATGGAGAAGCTAACATATAACTTTAAATCACAGTTAGTCTAAGTTAAGTCATTCTTCAGGTTTACCTTTTTACAGGAAATATCCAAGGACGTGTTCTGAGGCTAAAAGTCCTTCTCTCTGGTGATGGAGGCTGCTGTTGTGGGAGCAGACTGAGTGTGAGATAACAGGAGTACAGGAGTGTATTATTCTTCTGTCCTCTGAAAATGACCCACAATATACTCTCTGTCTTCCGCTTCCTGTAGCTCTCTCAGTCTGTTAGATATGAAGTGACTCTAAGTGACTTTTTCAGCTTTCTGCTTTTATTTTAAGGCTGCTGACTGGTTATAAGTACTGAAAAGGGAGGAGGGAGCAGGTGGGTGTGACCAAAGTAGCTGAGTAATAACAACACATCACCATGGAGTTGGGCTGATCACTCCTGAGGGAGGAAGGGGAGGAGAGAAAGAGAGATCACCTGTATGTCGCACCAGCCATTTAACATACATACTGTACTGTCCCTCTGTTTCGAGGTGTTAATTTGAACACAGCTTCTAAATTCGACAAAATAATGTCAGCATTTGTGATCCATTTCTAATTACTGACAACAAGCTACGTTTAAACCTTTCCATCCTTAGCAAAGAACTTAAAAAAAGTTGTAGCCTACATAAATAGCATTATTATCTTTGTCCTGTACGATGTGCTCCAGTCTGGTTTCAGATCAAACCATAGTATACTGTTAAACAGCTCTTATCAGAGTAATCAATTACCTAAATTTAAAAGTGATTCAAACCGAACTTCTGTTGTAGTTTTACTTGACCTCAGTGCAGCCTTTAACATGGTTGATCATGATATTATAATTATTCAGTTGTCACTATAATTCAGTTGGTTGAGGCCTGTTCTTTACTTGTTTTCTTCCTACACTGCTTTTTAATTAACACATGCTTCCTTTTGGCAATATTAATGTAGCATGAATCATTATATTTATATCAACAATGGAGCAAATTACCTACCTACAGTATAAAAGGTGTCTCTAATAGTAATGAACCCATAGATAATTATCACCTGAGTCTCTGTATATCTCTCTTTATAACTATGTTTTAGTTATTTGGGCAAAAACTCAGTCTTAAGGTTATCCTCAACCTTTTTTTCCAACCACAGCATGCAACCTTTCAATGAAAAAGTTCAGATAAACCTGCTGGCTCAGCACCAAACAGCAGACTGTTCAGCAACAAGCTAGAAAACATAGTGGAGCATTTAGGAGTTACAGCGCTAGATCAGGAGTTCATGGAGGGAGACGCAAACAGAGCTAGTAGGAGAGGGAATACTGGACTTACTTTTCATGGTGGATGGAAGAACAACCTCAAATAAATGTCAGTGTCTGTTGGATGTGTATATTTGCTAACATATAAGCCATAACAATATATAAGGTGATAAGTGTGCACTTACGTAGTTGCAAGCACCCACATGGACAAAAAATAATGAGGTGTTGGAGGTGTGTGGCTGATTTGCAAAACAGAAATAAAAGAGTGCTATCATTAATCATTACCCACCAAAACAAAGGACGACTCCAGCTTATTCAAAACATTTCTTGTGAGTGCAAGGCTGAATAAACTTCCAAACTCTAACTCACTCACATTCAGTCACACCTTTCAGGTTGTCTGCTTTTCTGTGGGCTGGATGTAGGGTTTGTCTTTCTGAGGGAGGGTGGCCATAGTCCAGTCAATCTGTGGTTTTGGGTTTGAGGAGCAGGGAACACAATACCTGCAGGACGTTTGTCTAAAAAGAGCAATTTGGATTCAGCAGATTATTTCCTGTAAATATTACATCAGAGATGAGTTTTCTTTTTATAGGTCAATGCCATGACATGGAATTGACCTATGCCATGATGTAATGCATATTTCTGAGTCTGGAACAAAGTGTTTTAACAAGATTAATTTGTCAAACAACTTTTTAATGCGTTTAAATTCATTTTTTAACAGTAGCCTATTTCTAACTTCACCACCCAAAAAATGTCAGGCGGCACAACCAAATAATTGCAAATATATATATCTTCCTATTATTGATGTTCAGTTATCAGTTATCTTTAAAGTGTATAAGATCTGTATCTTAAAATTAATAAACATTTTACAAATGCATTAGATAATCTTGGAGTTTTAAACAAGAGTATTTATTTCATTTAGTGTAATTTCCTTTCGTTTGAAACATAGTATCATGCCATTCAAATAAGATTTTTTAAATATTTTCTTTAGTTGTTCACCTGGTACAGACAGGGATCAGTGCAATATTTTCTCTTGCCTGCATATCTGTCCAGTGTAGACAATTTTTAATGAATGATACAGAACGGTATTAGGACCAATAAAACCAAGTGCTTGCTCATGGTGGTACTGTTGGGTAAATGTTAAAAGGAGTTTGAAAAGTGTCCTGAGATAACTTTCTGTTATGAATTGGTGCTACACAAATAAAAATTGAATTGAATTAAAAACTACTAAAAAAATGACTATTGTGATTTCTCCTAGATTGGGCCCTTTTTTGAGTTAGATTTACTGGACTACCTTTATTCTTATTTCTCTTACCTTTTATTGTTGTTTGCACTTTCTTGAATTGTAGCTGTATTTTTCCACAGCATGGCCTGATAAAATAAGTTGTTTGCCTTGATAAGGTGTTGGAGGAGTGCTGCTGATTTGCAAAACGGAAATATAAAAATGCTCTCTTTGATCATTACCCACCAAAAAAAGAGAAAAAGTGCCATTATATTACTCCAGTTCAAAGCTCTCTTTTTTTGAAAGACTTTATGGTTTTACTTCTTATTATATGTCTGACCTGCTCACTGACAACATTCCAGTCCTACCTTTTAGGTTATCTGCTTTTCTAATGAGATGTAGGGTTTGTCTTTCCAAGGAAGGGTGGCCATTTTTCCTCATATTGCTGTTTGCACTTTCTTGAATTGTATTTATTGTATTCTTATATATGTTGCTGTGTGCATTTTAATGTAAACAATTTACTTACAATGAAATGCCAATATAAATAAGATTGTCATGCTTTGCCTGAAACACAGTTACATTTCAAGACTACATTTCGTTAAACCATTGTGGAGAGCTGTCAGATGGAGTCTTCACCATCAGGTGTTCCTAAATTAATGAAAAACTGGGACGTTGGTGAGTTGAATGCTGCTCAGACTTTGACCTCATATGTCTCACACTGTAGCCTACAGTGTGACATTTGCACTATCTGAACTTCAGTCCTTTTGAACAGAACACAGAGAGTGTGTCACACTGTAATTAGTTAGTTAGTCATTTTAACTAAACTGCAAAGTTAGAAGATAGATGATTTACAGCAGCAGAATAGTAATCATCAATCACAGCATGTTAATGGAATACATTTTTGATTAGCTGATAAGAATAGGTGTGAAGCAGTGGAATTTCCTTATGAAGCTAATGAAAAATAATAAGAAATCATCACATATTCAAGTGGATTATCAAAATCTATTTTATGTTAATCAATATTTCACCCTTAAAATCCAAAATTGAATTCCTAAGACCTGAAGATAAACATATCTTCCCCATGCTAAACCTTCTATTTACACATTATCCAACATTCAGCTGACTGAAGGCTCCAGTGTCTGAGAAGTAATGTTATGACACATCTGCTTTTCATGCCTTTTCTTACTATTTGAGCACACCTACAATCTGTCTCTCACACACACACACACCCTTGAGCGCATTATGCAAGAGGCAAGAACACGCTGAATATTATTACCTAAAGGTGTCAAACAAATGTCTTTCATAAAAAGACACAATGCAAATACGAGTCAGATTCATATATTTTAGTGATTAGAGAGAAAAGTGCATTTGCTTTGTAACTAAAACACAAGAACACAAGAGGACTGAGGTGAACTTTCTTGAGAAATTGTCACATTGATTTTGCAGATCTGTCAAGGAAAAAAAACAGAAAAAAAACAGGCTGCTCATTTTCAGCCGGAAGATTTTATCAGCTGTAACTAGCTAGCTAATTAAGCTAACATAAGCTGGAAATACTGTCTCCAGTCGACTTTATAATGTTTGAAACTGACTTGTTTTTAAATGAGAACCCAGTGAAAGGTTCATATGAACTTGATGGCTAACTACATGGAAAGACTGAGGGTAAAGCTACATGTTCCAGGCAAAACGTCAGCATCCTCACAGCTGACTGATTTAGTTCTAAAGTAACTCTGCTGAACGTTAGCTTAGCTTACACACTCAGACAAACAAGACAGAGATTAGATTTATACTTTATTCATATTCATATATTCAATCAGTGTGTTTTATTATAGAAAAGGCTTTTTGGATGAAAACTAAATCTGGTGATGGTGACGCTATCTTATCTTGACGCTAACAAGTTTAGCTGGGGTTGCTGGAATGTAAACTTTCCCAAATCCAGTAAGGAGCAAGGCTGAGCCGCTAACCTAGCTGCTAGCCTCACTCTCATGCATGAGTATCCTCGACTGGCTCCCACACAGTGGGGAAATACTACACAGAGGATGTGCTATCATGAACAGGACCTTTTCAATGTAACCTAATACCATAAAATAATGTTGTATGAAATGCAGCTGCCACTGTAAGTAATGGTGGGTTATTATTGTAGGAAATAGGCTAGTTAGGCAGCCATGCTAATGTCTGTGTGTTACATTAGGGCAAATAAACAGCCAAAAGGAATCACCTATTGTACTGTACTGTTAGAATCCCAAATTCCGTTAACTGACATCCTGTTCAAAGTGCCACTCCAAGCTCAGATTAGGAAAAATAATAAATAATTAGCGATCCTACATATTCAAAGATCATTTTTACCTCACAAAAAATAAAACAGCATAAACAAACCAAACCTTATGGCGGGAACTTTGGCCTGTGGGCCCTGGTTCGGGCAGCCCTCGTTTAATTCATCCCTTACAGTTTTGCTCTTGAGATTTTGGTTTTGGAAAGGCTTTCCAGTTTTTAAGACAGAAACTACCACAATCTTCATATAAGTAGTATCTCTCTTACCGGAGCCATTCACTCTGCTTCAACATGTAGAGAAATCCAAAGCTTGACTAAACTGCTATGCCTAGCTATTGTTGCTAAGCTGCTAACTGTTTGAGGGAATGGTTTAGTGAACAGTCAGTTGAACATCAAAAGTCAACAGTGGATTAAGTTTTTTCCCTGCTGTACCAAATATGTTCACAATGTTTGGGCCCTGTACTCTGAAACAGCGTGTGTCCTGCACAGCTGTTGGACTGGCCCACTTTCGCCTTCATCCACTGCTTGTGTGTTCACAGGTGATGTTCAAATCATCCTGGACATGAGAGGCAAGGCAAGCACAGGGAACGGAAGTCTGTTTCTTCACTGGAAGTCTTCCTTTGGTTGTCCAGGGCAAACCTGTACTTTTTCAGCTACTATCATCAACGTCTGAGCACCTCAGGCTGCCTGCTTGTCTGGGTGGCTCTTTAACTTGTGGAATTTAACACTGTCCAGCTTCTCGAATCTCTTCTCACAGAACTCGCAGGTGAAGTTGTAGTGGGCCTCCGGAGTGTGTTTCTTCATGTGCCAGTTCAGGGACGCGCGCTGGCGACACTGGTAGCCACAGATTTCACATCTGATAGATGATGTTAGGGTGAGAAGACAAGAAGGAAGGACCAGGGAAGAAAAGACAGGAGTGATGAGTGTGTTGTATTGTTGTAATTATTTTTGTATTTGTATCCTCTAAAATCCTCACTCATTTTCCTTTCTGCATCTGTGTGATGAATCCAGGTCCAATGACCATTAACTGGTTCTAAATTTTCAGTTCAATCGTGAGGTGTCACAGACTGGAACTTCAGGCCAACATGCTCAGTGCAAAAAATGTGTAATGGTAAGATCTGTTTTCAGCCTTAATAACTTACTGGAGAGGTGTTTCTCCTGTGTGGGTCCGCCGGTGAACCTCCAGGTGATTCTTACGCTTAAAGGATTTTCCACATGTCTCACAGATGAAATCTCTGACCCCTGTAAAAAGACTCTGTTACAGTTGGAGGTTTATCACAATGAGATTCAGACATGACGTGAGTTTTTGTGAGCCCACCTGAATGGATGATCATATGGCGATGCAGATGGTTTGACAGGTAGAACTTTTTCCCGCAGCCTGGGTGGGGGCAAACCTTGGTCCTCCCTTTCCTGTGAACTAGGTTGACATGATTCTACAGAGAGAGGGAAGTGAATGAAAGACATGGTTATTTTAATCTTCAACTAAACTAAACTAAACAGAAGCTGAAATGTAAAGTATGAATGGAAAAAAGTTGTTATTACCTGAAAGCTGCTTATAGCTACATAGACCTGACTGCAGCCCTCATATGGACAGTGGAACATCTTAAGCATCCCATCTGCCTCAATGATGGGACCTCGCCTGTTTCTCTTTGACCGGACACTGCAAAAACAGACGCTGCAGACTTAGTTCACAATAGCAAGTGGTCAATAAGTGGAGTGGATCTCTGCTGAGCTGCTGTACTTCGAATCCTTCTCAATATGTGTGCATGTATGTGAACCACTGACCTGCTCAGACTCCGCTGCAGCTCTCTGTCACTGCCCAACTCCAAAGGGTCAACACTGGGCTGCAGCAGCTGTTTTTCACTCAAACCTACAAAACAGAAACAGTGCAAAAACTGGTTACAAAATGACTGACATGCAGGTATTGGCTAAATCAAAATGTCCACCCTCCGGAGTTGAGGACTGGGTATTATACTAGTCAAAGGTTACAGAAGGTTACAGTCTCCTCATTGCTCCACACAGATAATTTTCTCATCCTCTGATTTCGTCTCTCCAGTGGAAGCTTTGAGTGAAGTTTAAGTCACATGCTTCATGTATATCAAGATTTATTTGCCAAGTCTGTTTCTTTACACCATGTTTTTCCACCTCAGCCAAACGTAATTTCTTAAAAACTTGTTTGCAATATTGGGATGATTGTCTTTCAAATTTTTCGCAATTCGACTCTTTTTTTGCATTTTTTAAAATTGTTATTTGCAATATAACCCTCAACATTAAATGAACGTAAACTTTGAACTAAAATCTAGTAGTAGTTTTAGTAGTATTTAGTCACATCCATTCCACAAAGGAAAGTTTGGCCCTTCTGGTTTGCTTTGCCATTCACTGGTGCCCCTGAGTGGGTTGATCTTTTCATAGCAAAATGATTAAATTATATTTAAGATTAATTTACCTGTTGTGCTCAGATAGCTCCTTGATCCGATATGTGGCCCTTTGCTGTGTGTCATCCCCTACATAAATAACTGCCCAGCTATTCATGACTGTGTATACTGTACATGCTTCTTACACAGTGGAATAGGCAAATTAACCCTGTGGCAACCAGTAATTTCAATTAATGAAATAACAGCTTGCAGCCGGCAGACTCCTGTCAGCATTCGGAGGGTAGTGCAGCAAGAGCAGTGGGTTTATTTAACAATGAAATTCAGCACTAACCAAACTGTTTGACTTTTTTGATGTCTAGCTATTTAATGTGGGCTTTGTGTAGGATGTCCCGTGTTGCGTGGCCAATCAGTGGCCTGCAGTGTTTTCACGCCAAGTTTAGTATCAGCATAGCTCGCTTGGAACCTTGACTGAGGTGGTACCAAAAAAAGTACCAGGTACCAGGCACTATCCATAATGGAAAATCAAAACAGTGAGGGTCGAGTTGAGTCAAGCTGTACAATGTGGGGAAAAGCAGCATTTGGCACTCCTACAACCGGTGGCACGCTAGGTGGCCGCCTAGCTTGCCTGCACCTTAAAATGGCATCCACATAAATGCAGAGCCAGTTCTGAAAGTAGCATACCTGTCATCGAGTCTTCATCCTCCGCTGTTCTGAGTTTCGAGTCAGACGTGCAAACTTGGTTATAGGTGACACCCCCGATGACAGTGCAGGTGACTTCCTCCACATTTCCGCCGCCCATATTGAGCTGGATACCCTCTGATGCCAGGGCCTCATAGCTGGGGCCAGTGATAATAATTAACTGGGGATGGAAAAAGATGAAAAAAAACAACGGTAACTGTTGAGAAAAGAAATAGTGAACTCCTTGGTTTGTACCAACATCTCTACAAGGGAGTCATATACCTGTGAGCCTTCCAAAGTGGTCCTCTGATCAGGAATCTCGCAGCTGGTCACCACCGTCTGCAGAGTCTGAGGGTCAAACAGCTCACTCTGCTCTTGCATGGGCGGTGGGACCAACTGCTCCGGGTGAGCTCCCAGTGGGACTGAGCCACTCAGGCTCTGTGATAGCACTGCGTCCTCGTCCGTCTTTTCCAGTTTATCGGCTAAGGACGCCGTCACGGTAACACACTCATAACTGTGCGGTATAGTCCCGATCTCTTCCTCTTCTCCGTCTCTGCCTTGCCTCAGGTCCTCTGCCTCCTCTGCCTCGTCCTCTGAGGGAATGGAGTGAAATGCAGCAGCGGGGGAGCCTTGCTGTCGCTCCATGACCATCTCCCAGACTGGAACATCTTTGGAAGAGGCCTCTATACTGGGCTGGTGGTTTGGAGTGTCAGCCTGTTCTATCGGGCTCATGGTTGTATGCTGTATCTCAGACACATCCACATTGTCTTCCACATCTACAGAAAAGAAGATGAAATGAATCATGTTGATCATCAAGGAAGTCAAGATGTATCAGCCACTGACCAACACATTTAACTGCTCATAATATTAACAGTGAAAGTTAATACCTCTAAATGAATCAAGGAATTAAGTTATTATTCTGCACCTTTGAACTGTTTGGTCGCCTCCTTTCTCCTCTTCCTGTTCATGACGCCTTTAGCCACAGGCTCATCTGTCTTCGCTGCGCTCTCTCCATCCTCCTCACCGTTCACTTCGTCTTCATGTTCAGAGTCACTCGCCTCCCTCAGTGGGGAGAAAAGGTATTGCACAAATGAGTGGTTAGAGTCACATTGCCAGATAGCAGCAGTGGAGAAGTTGGGCTGGGGCTCCAAGGCTCTGAGCTGGGGCTCATGAGGGCAGGAGTGGGAGTGCTCCTGGTACCAACACACCAGGCTCTGGAGACTGGACACACGCTCTTTCCTGCCTGGGAAACAACAAAAGTCAGCTGAAAGGAAGATTGTAGCTGAGCCAATAACTGAACTTCAAAAATATTTTGCTATCAGATTCGAATCCTTTATTGATTTTTGTTGGATAAACAGCTAAAATACACACAAACACAATGTATGTGAGACCTTTTCTGCCAAGAAGAGACAAAAATAAATAAATAAGAGTCAAAATGAAAAGATACTTAGTTATACCTTTCAGCTCTAACATTAACAGTTACTTTCATTATCGATTAACTTGAGCTGATAATTTTGCCAGAAAGAGGTGAAAAATACACATTGCAATTTTCTAAGGTTCTAAGGTTACTTAACGTTGTCACATAAAACAAAGAGGAGCAGCGAAACCTCACATTTTAGGTTGGAAATGAGTAATGTTTGTCATTTGTGCTTGAAAAAACTCTTTCAAAATAGTTGCACATATTCTCTCGATCAACTAATTACAAAATCAACTAATAGTTTCTGCTCTTATAGATTATATATAGCATTTATCTTTTGTCATTCTTCATATTTGATGTATTTCTACTCTTGACCTTATATGTGTTGTCTGTCTAATGCCATAAGAGTTACTGAGGGAGGATTAGTTGTTTGTAAAATGTAAACAATTGTCTTATCATGCAGGTTACCACTGAGACTATAGGTGTAGAACTGAGTATACATGGAATCAGTTGACTGCTACCATTCAATTTTCTCTTTGTCATATAAAAAACCAGCAGCAAAGCAGCTTTCAGGCTTAAAGAGATCCAGTAACAGATTCATT